CATGCCAGACACACACACACACACACACACACACACTTCCGTCTGATTCCACTTCCCCTCCCTTAGTTCTAGAAACCTGTTCACTTCCACCACACACCTGCCTCTTCCCCGCCAGAATTGAAAAGCTTACATTCAAGGGGCATCACAATCATAAAATTATCACAGCAGATTCTAAAACCCATGCCTCACCCCACCCCCTTCACCTGCTAGGATATGAAAGTCACATTGCTGCCGATGCCAGGAGACAGCCCCGACCCCCAAGGTGCCCCACCCACCCACCACCACCGGCTCTTACCCGCCCTAGGTTCTTCAGGTCCCTGTGGCCACCCAGCTGTTGCTCTGGTAGTCAGCTCTTCACGCGCCCAGCCAGCCTTCTGAGGTCTCACACTTTCAGGGTCTCGCGTGGAGCCCCCTGTTGCTCTCTGGTGGAGTCGAGCCCTGCAGTGGAGCTAGTCGCTACAACACACAAACAAGAGTGGGCAGACAAGGGCCCTGACAGCCTGGGGTTTATGCTTCCTGGTCCTCGTCTACCTTTCAGGTGATCCCTACTCACTCCAGTGGTGTGAGCCTTTCCTCAGCCCCTACCAGTGGTGCACAGCAAGGGGGGGAGGTCTCTTCCCCACCTCCCAACATTTGGCAATATCTGGAGATGTGGGTTTTTTTTTTTCAGTTGTTACGACTAAGGGGATGCTACTGGCATCTAGTGGGTAGAGGCCAGGGATGCTGCTGTGCAGCATCCTATAGCACATGAGACAGTCCTCACCACAGAGCCCCCTCCCACCGGCCAGGTAGCCGCAGACCAAGGCTCTGAGGTCTCAAGTCCACATGTGGACCCACTGGTGGGCTCTCCCCAGTCCCCTCGCACCCACACTGCTCTCCCCTGCTCCCTCCAGTGCCTTCAATCCTGACTCTGTCAACACTTCTCTCCTGGAGAGTTTAATGGGCTGCAGGGATGTCATCTCCCCAAAAGGAGATGTCACTTGCATTTAGGGTCTTTCTCTTCAAAACTTCACCCATCTTTCTAATGAAATATGCTGTAACGCCCTCCCCCGCCCCCCTGCAGCCTGCCCAGCCTTCCCCAAGAAGTCTGGCCACTATGCCAGCTCCTCCTGACCCCCCCACCAGCTCACCCCAGTGACCCACCATCCAGATGCCAGCCTTTGACCCTTCGAGCTCTGGATCCTTCTAGGATTAGGATTCCTCTTGGGTCCTTGCCCACATCCTTCACTGTGCATGGGGATGGGGCCCCTCCCTAAAGAACAGGCAGCCTGGTTTGTACAGAACCCTGCTTGATTCTCCAGGACTGGTCTTCTGAGCTGCCTCAATTGTTTGTGTCGTGGTCCCTTTGCAGGACAAAAGAAGCTTTTTAGTGTCTTACCGGTTTCTGATAACAGCCTGGTCCTTCCTGCCGTCCTGAAAAATCCTGTCTTGCTTCTCTTGCCTCCTCTTACTGCTCCCGGTGCCCAACACGGCTTGTTCCAGCCCCACAGTAGGACTGCGTTTCTCATCACCCCCACCTGGTCACAGCCCACTAGGGAGCCCCCCTAGATGTGCCATTTCCCCGCCAAAAGGTTCCCCAGGTCTCCCAGCTAGGGGCCGTGTTTGGATTGGGCAGCCAATCCTTATTCCACCTCTATCCCCACGTCTACCTGCTCCCCTGGCAACGACCCAAGGTAGACAAGAGAATGGAACAAAGGGGTCTAAAACCTCATGGGCATGTTGGACAGGGAGGCTCTGGACCCGTTTCTTGATGGGTGGCCCCTGGGTTGAATCACCTCAATTTGCACCCACACTCACGGCTGAGGGCCAGATCACGTGAAGACCAGCCACCCCACGAGGGGTCCCCGACTCGGCGGTCACTGGGACTCCAACCCAGCTTCTGCTGACCTCACCCCCACTTGTACGCGCCTCCACTCCCTGGGGCCGCGGCTCTCGGCGTCAGGGTCAAGGCCTGCCTGGCCCTCTGTCTCCGAGGCGCCCCCCCACACACACCCCGCCTTTGTGGGGCGAGCCCATCGCCATCTACGAGTCCAAGGGTTGGCCCCCGGGACTCCACAACCGCCCACCTCTCCACTCAGCCTCTGTGACCTGTAGCGTCAGGGAGAGTGTCCCCATGGGGCGAGCGGCCTCGAGGTTTCTCAGGTCTGGCCGCCATACCAGCCCGCCAACAACAGCGCACAACTTCTTGGGGCATTCCAACGAGGCGCCCCCTAATGGACCTCCTCCTCGTATCCGGTTTCCGGCCCGATACCCCCTGCTCATTCGTCAGGACACCTTGATTGGCGTGACCCCAGCCCAATAGTTGACCCCGCCCTAGGGTCGCCTGGGAGCCGCGTTGGCAACTGGGACCCAGTTGACTTATTCAATGGATGCCAGATGGTTTAGCCATTGCGCCTTGGGGTAGGTAGTTGGCCAAAGTTTGAGCCCAAGTTCAGTGAAGGCACGTGGATATATGTAGGTAGACCCATAGGGCGCGGTAGGTGCGTCTTTGAGGGTCCCCCAATGTTACCCAGGGGTCTGGTTTTGTGAACTTTCCTCTCTACCTACAGCCACGTTGTGGGTAGGTGCGGGGAGTCGGGGGTTGGGGGGCATTCACATGTGTGGCTGTGGTACCCTCGCTCTAAGGGATGCGGAGGACTTAAGGCGGGGCCGTAGCGTGGTTCGCCTGTCGGCGGCTGTGGATACAGTGATCCAGGCGGCGCGCCCTGCCGCCACCGCGCGGACCCATCGCCTGGTCCTATCCCCTTCCCTGTGGTCCCCCATGCCAGGCAACCACCCCTTATGCCCCCCTGCCCAGCTGCTCTGCACCCAAAATTGGCTCGCGCTCGGAATCACTTACCGGCGAAACTGTCCCGATATCTGCTGGCAGGGTTTGCCGCGACCGGCGAGTAGCAATGGCCCCGGCGAACTGGAATCCCTGCGCAGACCCCAGCGTGATGCGCGTGCCTGTGTCTAGCCCACCTACACTGTGCGGCTGTTTCTCCCGTGCGTACTCCAAACCCAGCGCGCGCGCTTTGGCAACGGGAGCGCAGCTGATGCTACTGGATATGTATGTGGCGGCGCTTGCCGCTGCCTCTGCGAGCTCTGGTAGTGGCAAAGTGCAGTGACCACCCCAGGAAACCCCAAGTGAGGGGAGAGGGACTGAGAGGGGTCGGGGTGGGCTTAGATGAGCTGATGGACCTGGCTGCTGATGTCAGAAGCGGGAAGCGGCGCGCTGCTGGTGGCGCGGCGCAGCTGTGCTGTGGACCCAGAGCGCGCAGGGCTGTCCAAACTCAGACCACCCCAGACTGCCCTTAAACCACCAACCAAAATCCCTTGCCCCCCTACCCAAAATGGTAGGGCCCATGGAATTCTGAGGCCTG